GAGTACACGTTTATATCATTACTGATAATTCAGAATATCTGAACAGTAAGTTGGGTTCAATTTTATGTAATCAATACAAGGCAATAGTCACTGACAGTGTATAAATATGAGCTGTGGAGTTGTGTACAACAGTGTTGTGCTGTTTGGGGGATGCTAGTAATATTTATCAGATAAGCCTGTGCTTGAATATGTGTGGAAAGATATGAAAGCCCCAGCCATTGCCTAAGTCGAAAGTGGATTCTTCCTTTATGTTTGAAGTTCTTTGAAAGTGACATTGAAATTAAATGGAAAAGTTTCCTATTAGTGGACTCACAAGCTATTTGTGGGCTATGAGTTGGGTTCTCTAGGGTCATTTAGCCCATATTCATGTTGGCATTTGGTGCAGAAAGGCATCTGGCCCACAAGAATGGTATGTACTGAAGGATTGCCACATCATAATTCCCATTGTCTTTAGTGTCTGAAGATAATCTCATCACTGAGGAGGCCATTTCTACACTGAGTCTATTTAGAACCCCCTTCCATTTGTTTGTGTGATAGAAAGGGCAGCATGCTGTCTCATCCAGCAAATATTTACAATCAGTTCTACAGAGGACTCATGATAGAACATTATTCAACAAGGATTCTTCTATTTTCTTTTAGAATCCGTGGAGACCTCCTACTGACAACCACATCCAAATTCTAAATATCAAATGACTCAGACAGTGACTATGCTGGGGATTACTTGGGTTTATAGAGGACACGTGTGCCAAAAATTCTGAGCTTTCCCTTCCTTCTTTCTTTCGCTCTTTTGCAGGTTTACACGAACTAAGTCACCCCACGTGCTTCAGGCAGCAAGAGTGAGAGTCATGACCTACTTCTCTCTCCTCCTTAAAAAAGTGTGGCAGCCAAACAATCCTGCATAGGCCCCAGGTTTCAAACAGCCAACTCATGCAATGAGCACAAGATCTGGTCCCACTGCCTGGATGCCTCCCAAACAGATCAAGCCAATCAACTGTCTCACCCATTCGGAGGGCCTGATCCAGTGTGGACCCCTCAGCCATTGGTTGTTTGGCTTGGCCTGGGAGGAGGGGACTAGACCTACCTGGACTGAGTCTACCAGGTTGACCTCAGTCTGTGGGGAAGGCTTTGCCCTGGAGGAGATGGGAATGGGGGGGGGGGGCATTGGGGGGAAGGTGAGGGGGACGGGAGGGGGGAGAACAAGGGAATCCGTGACCGATATGTAGAACTGAATTGTATTGCAAAATAAATTAAAATAAATTAAAAAAAAAAAAAAAGTGTGGCAGACGAGAAGTCCTGATGAGCCCCAGGGCAGCCCTCTGACTTCCTTTACTGACACAGGCCCTGCAATTCCAAGACTCACAGGCAGCTGATAAGGGAGTCTGCATGGTTTTCCAGAAATCAGTTACGTTTGGCTAAATCGTCTTGCTCAACCTTTGTTCTCTCATTCACGTGGAGTAAGGGGATGTGCAGTAAATGTCACCAGACAGGTCTCGGAGGGGTTCTGAGTTATTTCTGGGATTTTGAAATCGTCTGCTTTCTACTTTGTAAAATGGCTATTGAAATTGAGTCAGCAATTGGACTGGAAATAGTTTCTATTTTAATCACTGACTACATGTAACTATCACCCACTTATTACCATATCAAAGTTCCCGCTCTTGTAAAATAAATCAAAGAGGCAGATCACATCTAAACAATTAAACTTCCCTTTGGTCTTTACAACACACTATAACATTGTGGAATAATTTTTATTGAAGTTTCTAAAATTCCATGTTTTTAATTTGGACTGGCTCTAGAAGTTGAAATTTCAATTTCTGGAATTAGTTTATCTTGAAGAAAATGCTAGTTCTACCAGTGAATAACTGTGCAACCTTGGGGGAAATTGCTGAATCTGTGTTTTGATTTTCTTTCCTTTCTCTCTTTTTTTCTCTCTCTCTCTCTTTCTTTCTCTCTTTTTTTTGTACAATAATGACAATAAAAGAAGAAAAACACATGCAACACGCAACAACACAGTTAGAATGATAAATTGTCATGATCTCAGGTCCTCTCTGCTGCTCTAGCATTTAGTTTTTTTCTCTGATTCATTTCAACTTAATGGTATTGAGGATTAGACATTAAAGTTCAGCGTGCTTCTGTGTGATGATGGAAGAGATGTGAAGGCAGTAATGATGAGAATTTCACCAGGGTTGGGACGTACGTGAGGTAGTGACACAGGCCAGTTGATGACTGTTGACGTCTGAAGGACTCCTAGAGCCTTAGTCTGAACATTCTAAGAAATCTTCTATAGTTCTGGATTTCTTTCCTGATGTGTAATTGCCTTATGATTTGTTACCCATTTATAGAGGTGGGCAGTAGTTAAAAAATGCCAGAACACACACTAGATGAGAACAATTACTGTATCACTGGTTAGTCCCTGTGGTGGTGGTGGCGGATCAGTCCATTCAGTCTTTTCTGTTGGAGAGAGATCCTTTCAAATTGTCCTCTCACAGGTGGCAGGCTATCTGACCCAAGGCAGGCACAAGTGGAGTCCAGGGTTGTGCACAGCACATAGCTGGGCAAAATACAGCCAGGTGTGAGGCTGATCATCTGGTTTCTATGCGATGAGTCCTATTATGGAGGAAACAGGACCAAACTTCTCTTACTAGGTTCACAATACCCTAAGTATGGTATAGTGATGTGTATTTGGTATGGTTAATACATCGTCACAGGCTTGAAGCATCACATGTTAATATTAAAGAGTATTTGATTTGGCTATTTTTTTGTTGTTGTTTTGTTTTGTTTTTTGAGACAGGGTTTCTCTGTGTAGTCCTGGCTGTCCTGGAACTCTCTTTGTAGACCAGGCTGGCCTTGAACTCAGAGATCCACCTGTCTCTGCCTCCTGAATGCTGGGATTAAAGGCATGTGCCTGGCGACTTGGCCGTTTTTAAATATCATATACACATTCATTCATTCAATGAGTATTTATTGTATGCTAAGGAATGTATGAAGAGCAGAGTAAGATTTTCTCACAGAAGTCTTCTGGCCCTAACTGAACTGTGGATCCCTTCCAAAGCAGAAGCACTTTCCCTTCCTCATCTTTCTGTCTCCAGGCATCCTGTAGAAGAAACTCAGCCCATGCAAAAGGCACACACTGCATATGTGAAAAACGTCATGCCCATGACCCAGATATTCATTTGCATGTCTTAGTCATCTTTCTAGCTGGAATTTAAGCACAATAAGAATGCAAATGCCTTCTCCCTGAAGAGTACATTTGACTGCAGGATGATGTTAGACCTTTTGCTTAGATTAAATATGTAATTTATATGCCCATATAAAAAGAAGATGGAATCAACAACAAGTATAAACTCTCCAGGGACTCATGAGTTTCTGAGTGTGAAAATAACAGTTTAAAAGAGGGCTCCTTTCTGTCTCAGATCCTCTTTCATGCAGCCCGAGGAAATGAGGAAAGAAATCCAAACACACAGAAGTTTTTAGGGCTGAACATTTTGATTCAATATGTTCTGCTATAAAGTATTTGGCCTTGTTAGAGCTTTTATCGCTCCATGTTCCCAGTCTGTGCTTCACAGTGAGAAAAACAAATAAGACGGTGATGTGCAAAATGTTCTTTTCAAGTGCGTGGCAGCGAATTTGAGAAAATACATATTAAAGGAACGTCTCATAACATTTAGCGCCTTTCCTGAGGCCTCCCTCAGTAAGTCTGATTCAATGTTTATTGTATTAAGGACTTAGCTCACTTGGAGTGAGCACTCTGAAGGGCCCTCTCAGCGCCACCTAAGATAAGTACCTTATTTCACCATGCTCTCAAATGAGGTTGCTTTTATGCGCTGTCTTTTTGCATACATGTGGTAAAGCTCTAATTAGAAAGTTTTATAATGGAGGCACGCAATTCCCCAATTTCTTATTTGCTTGAATTAACTTTTTACAAGCTGAGGTGTTCACTCTGGCATGGGCTTAATCCAGACTCTGTAATCAACCTACAATCTGTGCCTCACAAAGGCTGCCATCCTCCACTGCCAGCTTCTTCCTTCCATACCTTTTCCGTGGGGTAATGCATTTTAATTGGTACCTGTCTGTGAGCCCCTTACATCTCCGTCTGGTCAAATAAACACTTCCTTTTTTTAAAGATCCAGCCCTAACATCTTGGCAGTTAACAGGAGAATAGACTTGCCCCTATAGGCTGTCTTTAAGATGACAAAATCCCCAAATTGGAAGAGAAGGTGCAGGAAACAAAGCATTTACCTCAATATTGCTGTACCGACTAAATGAACCCAGGCATCTGGCATGTTTAGCATGGAGCCTTGCTCGTATCCACTGACAATTGCTTTTAGTGAGGTTGGTGGACTAGACTCCTTGGGCATCAGAAAAGGTGAGGAATGGTGAGTGGGTAGCAACTGGTTGCTGCCAATGAGCAGTGCACATGGATCACTCACCAAACATCACCATAAGGAATAACCCCACAAGGCAATGTGGACTGGGTGCTCAGTCCCTCATGGAGTATGGCCTCAGTTCTTTGAGGCACAGCTGTGCAGAACGTTTTCCCCAACCTTCAGGGTCATTTGGGTGAAATAAAGATACTTTCAGAGTAAAACATTTCTCTCTTCCTTCATTCATCCCTCCCTCCCTCCCTCCCTCCCTCCCTCCCTCCCTCTCTTCCTCCTTCCTCTCTCCCTCCTTAAAATAAATACTGGAGATTGTACTTGCTTTGCAAGTGCTCTACCACAAAGCCATCCCAACCTTGCTCTCTTGATAATCACAAACAGGTCAAAGACTCCTCTCTCTCCTTTCTGATTTTGTATCCCTTCCTTCTGGCATCTTGCCTTTTTTGCACAACCACTCCGGTGAGAAGCCTTTCTCAGTATGAGGCAGCAATCAGACACTATTCTGTAAATTAGTACAACGGGGAGCATTTACCAAGCAGAAGGCCAACTAGAGCCCCCGAGCTCACAGACCCCTGCCCATCCGAAGGTGCACAACTGGTTCTTTGTAACAAGGGGGCCACTCACCGGTTGCCTTTTCAGGGTTGTTGCACATGAAGCATTGCCATGCCCCTGCTGTTTCACTGAAGCCAAACACGTCAAAGAACCTCACTTCTTCCAGATGGAGCTGAACTTGCTCCAGATCCTGTTTCAGGAACACAAAGCACAAAGAAATGAGCACGCCTGCCGCCTGTGGACAGAAGAAGGGGATGTGGAGGGAAGGGCCGGTGCTCAGCAGCAGTGCTGGGACCAAGAGAGCACCCAGAGGGGCTTCTCTTGGCCAGCCTTGGAAAACGGCACTTTGCTCAGATTCTTCGATGGGATGGCTCTTCATTGTGGAGTGAGGGAACACAGCCTCAGGTCCAAGGCTTGGGGTGCAGGGAGAGACACCAGAATCTGAAGTGGCTCAGAATTTTCCTGCATTTGAAGCACCTCTAAAATTTCTATAAAGAAAGGACATCTGAGTGGCACTGTGGTTGAAGGAAATGCTGCTGGAGAAATGGCTCTATCTGTCTGTCTGTCTATCATTTGTTTTGTTTTTTGAGACAGTGTTACTCTGTGAAACTCACTCTGTAGACCAGGCTGGACTCAAACTCACAGAGATCCACCTGCCTCTGCCTCTGAAGGGCTGGGATTAAAGGTGTGTGCCACCACCGCCCGGCTGAATACCATTATATTTAAGTTGCATATAAAATCGAGAACTAAATATTCATACCCCAAATATCATTTTCATAAGGTTGGCTTTTTAGAGAGTGATGGAAAATACAGAGATGGGCTCATTTGTCCTCATCTCCAGTACTATTTACCCTTATGATTTATCTTAGATATTCTCTCCTATTCCACAGTATAGTGCTGTTGGTTTTAGTGGGAAATCATCTTTGAAATTGTTTCTCAGTAAATTAACCATTTCTTTAGTAGATGAGTAGAATTTGACACACTAAGATGGCTCATTTTCAGATGGCCTGTGGTACCCTGACCTTGTACTCGTCTTCAGGAGGCAGAGCAGAAAGACGGTCCCTTGGACCATAAGTAACTGATAGTAGGCCACTAGCCTAACGAAATGACATTTCTCTACTGTCCTCCAGGGGCTTTCCGGTTATATAAATAACCTGTATCCTGTGTTGTCAGGCAACAGGACTGCACTCTGGAGAGCTTGATCCTCCTAAGAAGGACTTGTGTTCTTGCTTGCCTAGCTTACATGCACGCCTTCAACGTACTTTGTGAGTGCTGGTGTACTGTGACTTCACTTTCTTGCCTTTGGTCCTGTACTTTCACCTTTTCTACTTGTCGTAATAACTCTCAGCATTCGGAAAGGCTAAGTGTTGCTTGTGGTGTTTGCGGGGCTTCAGATGGACCTGAGTAGAGAATGGGCAACGGGTTACACAGATCCCACCCCAGAGCTCCTGCTTCTTCATTTGTAGACACAGATGAGAAGCATACTAGACTCTGAGCCATTTGAGACTGGAACTCAATCTGCTTTGATAACAGCCGCATTCCGAGTATCTAGTGTAGCCCTGGGAATGGAGAGGCATCACTGGTTTATAGGCCCAGTACAAATCCCATTTGCCAAAGAACTACATGAAAGGCATAATGGCAATTTAAAAATTCTTTTTAGAGAACATTCATGTTCACCAGAAGATAAACACAGTGAGGACAGGGATCTTGTTTGTTGAATTGGATGTTTGAAACCTCAGCTTCTGAAAGTGCTTGTCACACAAACAAGAATTAAACAAACCCTTCTAATGAAAACCATAGACCAGGCCTTTCAGCGTCTTTATTAACAAGACTGTGTGTTACAATCCGGGATTAGACATTTTGGAGATTTAATATGCTGAATACAGTACTTTGGATTCCTAACATTAGAGGCATTTCAATAGACCCTGTGTGTGTGTGCGTGTGTGTGTGTGTGTGTGTGTGTGTGTGTGTGTGTGTGTGTGTATGTGTGCACGTGCACTCATGAATGAATGTTGTCCTAACAAAATGATTTAGAATGTGTTTATTGGAAAAAAGAGACTTTTTTTTAAAAAGAATGTTCCCCAAGATAAAGACCAAAGAAGCACCTGGGAGCTTTGTATGTTTCAAAGGATAAAATCCATATTAAAATTTATGGGAAGAAAGCAGATGTTCATAAATATCTGGTTCAAAACTGCAAGGTCTCTGAAGTCTGCCCTTGGCCATCGGCATGCAGATCAGTCTTTGTTTCTCACACAATTAGAGATCAATTCTTCATTCCCCGCAAACACTACTAGCAAACAAAGTACTTAAATAATACGTAGAGCTTCCTTCATTTTTCCTGTTCTGAGACCAGGAATGTCCCAGGTTGTTGCCTATAATCCACACTTGCCTTGGCAAAACGTTATTCAAGAAGTTTAAGACAGATGGTGGGCCATATCCCAGAGCTCAAGTCCTGAAGCCGAGAGCAGGTTTAGCCCTTCGGAGGACTGAGGTGTTATGCAAAGGGATCCAAGTGAGGAAGATGGACGGTAGTTACAGGAACTATTGCACTTGGTGGTGACAGCCAACTTTAATAGACTTCAAATATCTGTGGAAAATCAAAGTAAGTCACAAAACAAGCAAGTGCAGACTGCCAGTGACATGTTTCATATTCGTACATCTTAAATGTGCTTGGGGCCATTTTTTTTTAACTTATCTTTACCCTTCTGAGTCCTCAATTTTGCCCCAGAACTGATATACGGCCACATCTCCTTCCTTTCCTCCTTACCTCCTCTTCAAAACAAGACAACTTGTTTCAAAAATTAGTTTAGAAAATTACAAACTTTCTTTTAGATGTCTGGACTACAGAAGAATGATAAAATAGTTCATATCTGATTCTCCATCTCTCTCTTGGTATTTCAGATCGGATGGGATTGTGGCAGATGGGCCTTCAGATGACCTACCAACAATACTCATTTCTCAATGTTCAGCTGCTTGGATGATCCTTTACCCTTGAGTATTGGAGGCTCCTGTGTCTTTTTAGAAAATGGCAAAGATGACAGAATATCAATTTCATAAAACACACACACACACACACACACACACACACACACACACACACACACACCTTGCACACATAAGATCCATCTTGCTAGCATACACCTACAAAGGATGGCTCTCCTACTGGCCTTGGAGAAACAAGAAACTCGAGGAAACTCTGAGTAGCTTCCAGTAGCTAGCAAGAGATCAAGAACTGTGCTTATCCAACAACAAATAAATGTTTTTTGCCAACACCCTGGTCTTTTGGCTATTCTCGAAAAGAAGGATGGTCCTACTCAGAAGAGTCAGTCTCCTAGGTACCCTTCAAATCAGGTCTCAGCAAAACCTGAGCTACAATGAGCTCACATTGTTTATGTGGACTTAGGAAAGAGTTACATAATAATACCAGTAAACATGTTCTGAGAAGGGTTTCTCTAGCAAGCGTTACTTAATTTAAAAAGTTAAAAAGTCACCCGAGGGAAAATGGTCTTGTAAACACAGTTGTTTAAATAAGTTTGTCTCCAACTTTAGAAAAAAGTAATTAATGAAATTAAGAATCTGGAAAGCCATAAAGAAGTCTCTTGTAAATCTACTTAGGGAAAAATAAACAAGGTAGCAGCGAGAGATGAGCAGACAGTTACAACATTATTTCATTATATTCTATAAAACTGTGTGTGTGTGTGTGTGTGTGTGTGTGTGTGTGTGTGTGTGTGTGTGTGTGTGAGAGAGAGAGAGAGAGAGAGAGAGAGAGAGAGAGAGAGAGAGAGAGAGAGAGAGAGAGAGAAGGGGGGACAATAGGTAGCTTAGCAGGCAAAGACACTTGGGTAATGGGGCTTTCCACCAAGCTTGATGACCTGAGTTCAGTTCCTGGAATCCGTGGTGGAAAGAGATAACCAATCCCTCAAGTTGTCCCCCCCCCTCCCCCCGCCTCCTGCATGTGTATATGGCATCCATGCCATGCCCTCCTCTAAGCACATAAATGAATGTGATACTTGTTTTTAAAGTGTGAAGTAGACTCTGGAGCTCATGCCATGGCCAATGTACTGAGAAGGTCTGGGAAGAGTTTTCTAGAAATCAGTCAGAGCATACATCTGGAAGAGCTTTGTCTTCTGGCACATTTAAATTCTGTTCTAAAGTTCTCCGTGTACAGAAAGGAAACATGGGCTTGCCTCGTGTACTGTGTGTGCTTCTGGTTAACAGGACTTCTAGCTTGAAAGCTCAAGTTCTTATAAGAAATAGAAATGAAAAAATTCAAGAAGTCTCTAATGTTCTTGCATATTAGACTCCATGCCTTAATAGTAATTTCTAGAGTGCACACCATAACTATAAGCAGTCCCAGGTATGAAATGAATTTATTGAGGGAGTATAATCAATAATTCATCTGTCATTGAACAGGCATGATGTAAGAAGCACTATGTTGAATGCATGAATTAGCATGAGACTTTAAAGAATGTCCACCCTCTAACTTAATCTTTTTATTCTTTCAGCTATTGAAAAACACTGCTGTTGAATTCAGTTAATAAAGCACAGAGTCAGAGCAGCTGGTGTGTCAGGGACTATGGATAAAGGAATGAAGGTGCCATAGTTCTGCTGTGCCAGGAAGTAGGACGGGACGCTGGAAGACGCCTTCCGCTTGTGTGTGCTGAGCAGCTTACTATATGACCTTTGACCCTGCATTGAACAAAAGCTCCTTCACAGACAGACGGACTTTGGTGCTCTTTTGTCACTTTTGGAAATACGACAAATAGTATTTTGTCCATAGTATAGTTCAATGAATTGTTATTTTACTAATCGAGGTACATAGATCTTATTCCTAATTTATACCAAGGGTAACATTTGGGTTTTCTATTTGCATGTTTATTCAAGTATGCTCATTGAAGATGTGCAGAATAATTCTTTTCCTGTTTTTCAAGAAATGGGTATTGCTATGTTGCTCAGGCTGACCTCAAACTCATGTTCTAGAAATTCTGCCTCCTTGGGTGGGACAACAGGTGCAAGCTACCATGTTCATCTAGAGAACATCTTTCTGAATCTCTAATCTGGGAGGTGAGGATATAACTCAATGGTAGAGTACTTGCCTACCAGGTGCAATGCCTTGAGCTTATTCCCAACAATGCAAATACAATACAAACAATACAATACAACGAAATGCAACACAACACAACACAACAC